CTCTATTTTTTGTCCTGTAAAGAAGTCATATACATTATTACTTATCTAAAACTTTTCTATCCTTCAAAGCTAACTTATGGCCCCCTTCATCACCGAGGGCCCCTTGACCCTGCCATCCCACATCATCTGCTCCTTCGCTGAACTCCTACAAGAGACGCCCATTTGGAACCAAATACAGCATATTGCATCGCTCCTTATCCTTTAACATTGCATGGCCTTCCTCTCCTTAAAAGCGACGGCTCCTCAACCTCAGACTTTCCAGAGAAAAAAATCAGTTCTAATCGCTATCAAAGAAGAATCTTCTTGAACCCTGTTTTGCAATGTGTCTTCTTTGTTCACACTGCTTTAGTGGTTGTTGTTTCTGGCAGAATTCAGTTCAAATACCTCAGCCTGTGATGAATGAGCAAGCTGGGACTGTTCAACGTCAGGCCCTTCAAGGCAAAGTTGGAGAGTGAGTTCCAGAAATGTCAGGTCTCTCTGCTGGGGCCAAATCTAGAAAGTAGCACCCAGAAAGGGCTTAAAGGCCAAACAGGATAGGTAAAAACATTGCTGAGCCTGCAGTAGGAAGGTAACAAATAAATGAAGAAAATGAATGAAAAGGAATTAATGTATCTTGTGCTCCTAGCAGAATTATTTATCATCAGACATGTTTGAACAGTCCTACATAATGATTTTATTTCTTTTTGATGTTTTCTCTATCTTTTTAGAGAAAGCATGCATATGATAACAGGTGTTTTGTTTGTTTGTTTGTTTGTTTGTATTTTGTGAAGACCCTTTTTTACTTCCATGTATTTATTCCTTTATTCATCACATTTTCCATGGTGAGGCACTGTGCTAGGGACTAGTGATACAAAATTGATCAAGAAAGACAGGTCCCTGCTCTCATTAAAAGCCCATGATTCATTGGATGGAAATAGATAATTAAATATTAAATTACTCTAAATTGTGTTAGCATACAAGGGCTATGGGACTACTTGGGATGGACTCCGGGAAGAAACAACTTTAAATGGACACCTAACAGATTAGGAGTTAGTCATTTTATAGAATTGTAATGAATCATTTAATATATATGTGAAGGTTTTTTTTAAAAAATACACTTTATGCTATTTGCTTAAACGATAGATATCAAGGTTTAAGAAGTTATTTTCTAAGGTCTTACCACCCTTCAATATGCTCTGACAACCGCTAGCTGCCTTCTTTTAAGATACTTCATTTTTGTGTCTCCAACATTTGTGTTCTTTTTTTTTTAAAGATTTTATTTATTTATTTGACAGAGAGAGACACAGTGAGAGAGGTAACACAAGCAGGGGGAGTGGGAGAGGGAGAAGCAGGCTTCCCACCGAGCAGGGAGCCCAATGTGGGGCTCGATCCCAAGACCCTGGGATCATGACCCGAGCCGAAGACAGACGCTCAATGACTGAGCCACCCAGGCGCTCTCATGTTCTTTATCTATGTCCTTTTATATGAGTACAACTTCTTCTTCTTCTTCTTCTTTTTTTCTTTTGAGAGAGAGATAGAGTGAGAGGCAGAGAGAGAATCTTAAGTAGGCTCCATGCCCAGCGCAAAGCCTGACCTGGGGATCCATCTCACGACCTTGAGATCATGACCTGAGCTGAAATCAAGAGTCAGTTGCTTAACCTACTGAGCAATCCAGGCGCCCCATGAGTACATCCTTCTGTTCTAAAGAGTGTTCTGTGTTGGAAGATCTTATGAAGCTTTCTTTGGTATGAAATATCACTTATGGCATAGTGTCAGATCAAAAAATGGATTCTCCACTGGGAAATAGCTTGACACATCATGGGTACTATCTTTAAACATTCCTGGGAGCTGCCACTGTTTATGTGTATTGTTGTTTAATTACTTTTTTCCTAATATTATACAGACTACATGGGTAGCAAATGACAGAAAGGCAGGGTCCATGTCGATCTTATCTATGGCAGCATGTCCTCCCAACACCTAGCACCATTTCTTGCACCACATCATAATTCCCATAGTATAAAGAAAATGGATAATGCACCTTTGCAAAAATTGGAGAGAATATAACCAATAGTATAGAGAGGCAGAAGAGGGTAGAAAAAAATAACCCAGAGGGCTTTGAATCTCACTACAGACAAGATGGTGGCATTTGAAATGATTCACATATAAGGATCCAAAATTCTTGTGGCTTCAGAGAAGGTACACAGAAATATGTCCACATATACTCACATTTCAAATAAGAACCTGTGGTTAGAGGAGGATTATTGAATGAGACATGATCCTTTCCTTAAGAACCTACAGTCTAGCTGAGGAGAAAAGGCTCAAGAACAAGAAACAACCTGGTAGCAATTAAGTGCTAGGCAGGAGGTGCGGAGAGTCTGAGCTTGACAGAGGCAGAGAGAATGGTGAGGAGAAAGAATATTCTTTTGGAATTTAGAGTTATATCCTTTTATATGCTTGCCCATGTCAATCTGTCCCTTTAGAAATATAAGTTCCTAGAGGGTAGCAACCATGTCTATTTAATTGCCTGAATTCTGATAACTAGGACAATTTCCACATCGAATGTCATACAGTCTCCCAAACTATGAGGTAATTCTAGCTTCTCTGTAGCTGCCCCCAATAAGGTCATTCACCTGCATCCTCTACTAACCTTTGGGGTTAAACTCTTATGTACTAACTTTTCCAAAGTGTGCCAATTTTGCTGGCCCTCCAGTCCTTCAGCCTTGATGTGCTGACTCTCAAGACCTGTGCCTATATTTTCTTCTTCTAACAGACCTACTTAAACCTGATATACTCCTGTCTAGTCTTCTTGCTGAAGTGAATTCCTGGCCTTATCCTTTCCAGGATAGAGTGTCTGTTATCACTCCTGCCTCCTTGAACCACTTATCTGCACAACAAATTAACTCAAAATTTAGTGGCTTAAAACAATGTGCATTTGTATCCTGCACAGTTTCTCAGGATCAGGAATCTGGGAGCAGCCTAGGTGAGTATTTGTGGTACAGTCACTCATGAGGCTGCATTCAAACTGTCAGCTGGGAATCTCGTCATCTAAAGGTTTGAATGGGGCTGGACGATCCACTTCCAAGCTTACTCACACGGCTGTTGGCAAGAGGCCTCATCTCCTTGCCACATGTACCTCACCAAAGGATTGCTTATGGTAGTACAGCTGGCTTCCCCCAGAGAGAATGATCTGAGAGAGAGAAAGAGAGAGAGAGGACTATATTGCCTTTTATGATACACATTGTTAGTTCCACCTTATTCTGCCCATTGAAAGCAGGTCACTAAGTCTAGCCCATACTTCATGGAAAGAGATGACACGAGGATGGGAATACCAAGAGGTAGGGACCATTGGGCGTTGTTCCAGAGGCTGCATATGATACCCTTTTATAAAGTGACTTCTCCGTTCTTCATCTAAAGTAGTTACCTTAGTTTTATCATATGTTTATTAACTTCCTCATGGAGTTAAAGTGAATTTTAATGTGTTTGTCTGCAAAGCTATATGAAGTTAATATTTTATACATTAGCATCAAAATAAGAGTTCCCCTTTCTCCTACTGACAGATTTCACCCTTTTGAGAATGAAAACTTACTTGTCTTTTCCCCTGATATTGTCTTCCACTAATTGCTGTAGATTACCATTCCTTGCTTTTTTTGATTTGTAAGTCTGTCGGGAAAACAACACAAAGCATTCCTTAAACTCACAATGTCAAGAAGCAAATAGAGAATGCTTTCTCCTCCTTACTGCCAACTGGAAATATTCATATCTAAATCCTTTGCCACTTAGTCAACAAGCCAAACCCAATTCACTATAAAAGTGAACATTTGCCAAACATTTTCTTCATCTACTTATACCAAATAAATAAAGACCTGTATTAATGTGAGCACTGGTTTATTTCATAAATAATTGAAATAACTCAGGGCTTGAGTCTTCAGAGTTTAGAGGAAGCAAGAACCCAGCAACTAAAACATAAGCTGCCATGGCTTGATTCTGGGCAAGTTTCTTTTAAACCAGGTATAAATCGGAAATTGGCAGTCAAGGTCATAGCCTCTGTCATGTAAGAGTTTACAGTTGGTGAACATGTTAGAGATTGGATCCTGAACCCATACCTATTGTTACTAAGAAAGCAAAAACTGGTCTGGTAACCCCCTTCTTGCCTTTAAGGAAGGAACAGATACTCTTTTCATATATGGATGCCTAGTTCAGCATCACTGAAAAGATTGTCTGAAGAAGGAATGATGCTACAATACCCATGATGGGATGCTTGGGCAGAACTCTCTTGCATTCATAGATTTGTACATAGATTCTTGGTCATGTGGATGAAGAGAATGAAGACAGGACTATATTCCCAGTCTCAGTTCCACCACAGCTGTGTTAATTTTCAACAGCACCTCTGTGCAGATTTGTTTTAATGGCTAAAGTGTGTTAAAATACTAGTAAAAGGGTTGGCACATGAGCATTCAGGAAATATTGATTCTACTTCCTTTTGTGTCCTATCAAAATGTGCTGAAAGTAACTCTGCCAGGGAGCTTTTTCATATAGCTATTGCCTCGTTTCTGGCTCTGCTGGTAGATGTGGGTGTGAAGGGAAGTTTCTCTACCTTCTGCATGCAGGACATTATATTGTTAACTATATTCTGAACACTTAAGAGAAAATTGAGCTGAATATTTAAGTACTCCCTGAAGTCAATGCACGATTTAGGAAATTATGTATATTAGAATGTTATGTTGCAACATGATACATTAAGTCCCAGTGAAGCTGTGGTTCCCAATTCAGACTGTATTAAGTTTCTCTGTTTAAATTTTATTATAGTGTAGATCATCAATACCAAGTGAATCAAGCCAACTGTGAAAGCATCACTAATACGAGAAAAACATTTTAATGTATCAAGAAACCACTCTGAAATTTTTCACAAAATACACCACTTATTTCAGGGAAATTTGCTGGAAAGTTGCTAATGTTGAATTTTGTATTTTATTTATGTTTACCAAATGCTTTGCAATCACCTTTATTTCCCATCTCCCAAGACTTTTGATAAAGGATCAAGCCAGACTACCAACTTGGAGAAGCGATTTTGCCGAGGTCGAAGGCTCCATTACACCATGCTCCAATTGAAAACAGGTAATTGGGTCTACAATATTTTGTAGAGGTCCTCTACTATTAAAATAGCCAAGCTATAGTCTTGAAGCTTTTCTCACTCTGTCTCCCATTAATTGAAAACTGTAATATCTCCCAGATCTCCTTCACTTTGCCCACAGAGCCAGGAAGAAGAATCAGCACACTCTTTGCATCTTCTACTTTTCCAAGCCACTTTACTGTTCCAACTTTTACTCAACTACTTTTCCTAGTAGAACTTTATATAATTCTCTTCTTGTCATATCATCTTGGCTTCCTTGTCACATCTATGCTTGATATATATTTTTAAAAGATTGCATTTATTTATTTGAGAGAGAGAGAGAAAGAGAGTGCACACGCATGAGTCAGGGAGGGGGAGGTACAGAGGGAGAGGGAGAAGCAGAAGGCCTGCTGAGCTGGGAGCCCAATTTGGAGCTTGATTCCAGGACCCCAGGATCATGACGTGAGCCAAAGGCAGATGCTTAACCAACTAAGCCACCTAGGCACCCCGTGCTTGATATATTTTTAAACAATATCCCAACCATGCTCAGTATTCTTCATCTCACACTACCCAAATTCACAAAGGCTTGATATATAAATCATGGTTCAGATTTTAAATTTATGATGATAAATGTGATTATGAAGGGAACACAATTACTCATGTTGAAAATGAGTCCATTTTATCACTGTAGACCAATTTATGAGACAGCCTCAGGAGAATCAGAGGTCACTTGGTGAACATAGAAGCAGAGTGAACAAAGTTAATTAGATGATATTCCTAGTTAATGCCTTTAAGCTATGATTGCTTGATGCCCCTCTTCACTAAAGACCATGCTGCTAAATAGACGGGGTTTTTGACTAGTTTATAGGAGACAATGCTTTGTAACTATATTGAAGGCACACAAAGCTTCTATAGTACATTTTGTCTTCCTCTTAATAGGCCCCATGCAGACTTGAAAACATGGGATATATTCTATAGCTATAGCCTGCCTTTTCTTTACTAAAACGTAACATGATTAATTAGCCATTCTTACAGTCATCTTGATAAATCTTGGGTATTCTCGTATCACCTTAAATATCCATTTACAAATAACCACATCTATGGATGATTATATCATGTTATTTTTCCAGAATTAATCATGAAACGGTGTTTAGACCCCTCTTGTGTCCCACTTCATGTTCTCTCAAAGTTCTTCTAGCCCAGGTGTTATTATGAGAATCTGTTGTACACAAGTATAACGAGACAGCACCTTGCCTCTACTGTAATTTCTTGCTTTCTACATCAGGGACTTCTTGCTGTAGTACCTGAGGGAACCTGTTGAGCTAGATTTTGACTCACACACAAACTTGGAAGTGCGAGGGTATTAATACAATGCAGGACAAGAATCAGTAGAGAAATAGTCCCCTCTTCCATCCCCTTGAGTGGGCCATTCTGAGGTATGCTCTGCACATTTCCTCAGACTTTCTCCATAAGATAAAATCACATTGGTTGATTTGGCGTATCTCTTCAACAGAATGTATTTTTTTTCTCAATTGAAAAGTGTAGGACTAGGGATATTTTAGCTATGTCCATTTTTACACCGGCAAGGAGACATGCCTTCATGACTTTCAGAAGTATTTTATCAGCTCCCGAATTAATTTTCCAGAATATTTAAACCAATCAAAATATATTTGGACAATAAAAAAAAAACACTGCATGAGAAAAATAAGTAAATCAAATGTTATACTGTCTCTCTGATTCTCTTCTGTTCAATGTTTTAGAGTAAAGAAGTGAAAAACTGGAGATTTGCCCTTAGAAATTAAGTATTTTTCTCTTTTTAATTGATGGAAACATGGAAACTAGCCACAAAATAAAATTACTCTATTATAAATATAAAAAGTATAAAAGCCCTAGTACATGACTGTCTTTTAATTTGCTTCAAGATGATTTCCCATTTAATATCTTCCCTTAAATATTGATACAAAATCAGAGGTCAGCCCAACATCTTGGCAAAGCTAAGAAATTATACATTAAATGAAATATGCAAACACTTATTTTTGTTTTCTAATCTTAATTCAGAGAAGATGGGAAATACAAGTATTCAGTCCCCAAAGAAATATTAACTCTTCAAATTGGGCTGCTTTGGAATAAAAAGTCTTACATGTGTGCCCTGTGAACTTAGTTAATATAACTATGAGTGCTGTAATTTCTGCATTTCCTGATTTGTACTAAAATTGCAAGTATATTAGTTTAATATTTTATTGGGGTTTTGGAAGACTGTTCTTGAAATTTTCAAGGTATAGGGTTGTCATTTCTCTGGAAGGAAAAATCCAGCATCTGACAATAATTCTGTGTAATCTTTTACTTGGACAAAGACTCTGATTGGTTATAGTCATGGCTTTTCCTCACACACAAATTGAACAATTTCACAAATAAAGAGATTTATTCTTCTCTCTTTTGTTCAAAATAACAAAACTATACATAATATCCTCTCTTTTGTCTCTGTCCTAGATCCACTAAAGTACTAGGTCTAATCCCAGGCACCCTGATTAGTTTCCCAGTCGCCATAGTTACTGTTAAAAAGGGAGAGTTTTTATCTGAACACTCAGATTGTGCTTAATGCTTTGCAACCACTCCACTGACCTTATTCTTTCTTCTCTGTGTTGTCGTTTGTTATTTTTATTTGTTTTTGTGGCCCTACACATCCACCAGCCACTCTGTTATTGACTGTTGACAAAAGTCTACTCAAGTAATAAACCTTATCAAAATTCTAAAATATTTTGTGGAAATAACACATTTATATTCCGATGCATGGACTAGCCTATAACCCTTGAACACAATTAATATAATTTTATTTTCACATGGTTATAAGGAATGGTAAACTTCTAGTTTATTATTTTTCATAGTAACATTCATGGACCTTAAAATTTAGGTATATTGCTGACATTACCTGGAAACTTGCTGGAAATAAAAAAATCAATCAAAATCTCAAGAAAGTAGGCAGATGATCATATAATTATCAATGTCTGAGGAGCTAGCATTCACTGAGCACTACTTGTCAGGCATCTATGGCAAAGACTAACTAGGCCTCTCGATCATTCCCTCTCCACTGGGTCATTTCCATCAACATGCTGTAGTGTATTGCCTCCTTCAAAAAATCATTTGTGCCTTTTCCCTCAAGCTACCTTCTTTTCCTCTACTTCTTTTTGTAGAAAACATCTTAAAAGCGTATATACTCACCATCTTCACTTTCTTGTCTCCTATTCCTATTTTTAAACCCCTCTAATCAGGCTTTCCTTCCTCCACTGCATTGAAAAAAACACTCTTCAAGGTCACTAATTCTTGCTGAATCCAGGGGTCTAACCTCAGTCTTCATCGTATTGTACTCTTCCCAGCATTTGACAGTAGTTGATCAAACCTATTTCTTGAAAACTTTCTTCTTTTAGCTTCAGAAACATCATACACCTGTTTTCCTTCCTGTGTAACTGCCACTTCCTTTTCCCTAGCTGCCCTTACTCTTCTTGGCCTCTGAATTTTTAAGATCCCCAAAGATTGCTCTTCACTGAAAGTTTAAGATTTCTTTATTACTGTTTGTATAGAACTCTGGACTCTGTAAGTATAGAGATCCTGATTCCCAAAGAGAGAACATTTCTTCCAGGGGATATAGCAAGAATCCAACTGAGCCAGAGTCCAGTTGAGCTACTGCCTGGGCACTTCTGGCTCCTTGTGTCCTATGACCAGTCAGCAAGGTAGAGTTGCCAAGAGGATCAAGAGGAGGTAGGGCTGGTTGGAATATGTGTGGAGCCCAGGCAATCCACTTGCATGACCCTGGGTATTCCCTTGCCCAGTTCTGATGATAAATTGACAAATGCAGTAACTCTAGCCAGAGAAAGGCATGGTAATCGGTGCTTTAGATACCTCAGAGAAAAGGGTCTGTGTCATGCCACCAGGTAAACCATTGAGATGACAAGAGATGACAGCTGAGGGGGAGAGGGTCTAGAATGCATAGTAGAGGAAGGAGATGACCAGTGTTAGTTGTGGCCCTGTAACCAGCTACAGTAGAGAGAACTCTAGCTTGTCTCATTAACCTTCCCTTTCCAAACTTCTCCCAGGAAGAAAGGCTCATGTGGAAACTATGCAGAGATGGAGGGGCACAAGGGGTGAATTGTTGTAGATATCCCCAGCTTCTGGAAATGCTGCTGGAAGATGGTCCTCGGCTGTCAGCCTTCTCTATAGGGATTTCCTCAGGCCCAAGGTCATACCTCCTTCCCAGAATAGCTGTTATCCAATGACCAATCAGCATAGGAGTATAAAGGTTGATCCCAGTACCCCAACTGGAGACAACTTTGAAAGGCTGTCCTGGCTACACAGCTACACATGGGGTCAGTTGAGTCTTTGTTGGGATTGCACTGCAGCTCAACTTCTACCTCTGTCCAATCCTACTTCATTTTCCTCTTCCACGAGTGTTGATCCTGAAAGCACTCTTCAATAAACTTCTTATACCCTAATCTCCATCTCAAGGTCTGCTGAGGAAACCCAACTGGAGACAATAGGATATGTTAATATTGTTGCCTGAAGAATATGATCTCTCGCAGCAAGGGATGGAATTGATATTCTTGTGCTATTTGTTCTAGGATCCATTTCTCACTCTTCCCCTATTCAGTATGGCAGGAAGCTGGCTCCTGAAACTTCATTTCCTTGGCTTCCTTGACAATTGGCTTCTAGTTAGGTTTGCTCGAAGGGAAGCAGTGGTGGGAGATTGCATAGCAGAAGGAAGAAGTAAGGCTATTTCTACCCCTCCCTCTAAATCCCTGGTGGTACCTACATTTTCTTTGTCCTTTTGGACCACCTCATCTCTGTAGTCTTATGCCTACTGGGCAGCCTCTACCACGTTTCTAGCTCCCACTGGTCATACCCAATTCCTGAACTTGCTAGATGATTGCAACACAGGCATAGAACCAACTACAATTTTTGAACATACCAGATGGGTCTGTGCCTGCTTAGTACATGTTCTCTCTGCCTAAAATCTCAGGCTGTTTTTGTCAGACCAACTCACATTCATTCTCCAAGACTCAGTGCAGTTTTTACCACCTCCTTGAAGCCTCATCTAACATGTGTTTCTTCGGAAGTGTGTGCTTCTATCACATAACTTACTGTACCAATCTGTAATTACATATTTACATGCCTGGACAAGACTGAGACTCCCCTAAAGGAAAGATTGGTCTGGTCTTTTATCTTTGTATTCTAATGCTAATACGGGCATCTCATACGATGGGCAATCAATGTTTTTAAAATGAACAAATGACATAGATACAGGCTTCTGTATGTCACAGGTAAACGTTTATGTGATACAGATTTGAAAATACTGATTTTGGAGTCAGACTGTCCTGGAATAGAGACCTAGCTCTATATTTAATAAGAACTTTGTGAAATGACCTTGAGCAAATCGCTCAACCACTTCAAGCCTTATTTCCCTTAGTTGTGAAATGAAAGTGATAATAATACCAATTTCATAAGATTGTTCTAAAAATTAAAACAAAAATCATAAGGGCATGCTGTCATTAAATATTGTTCTCATTTGTTGCAGCCTACAGAGTGCTAAACTTTTTCACCTGTAATTCTCATTCAGTCCTTCAAACAAATCTGCGAAGTTGATGGCCACTCCATAAAGATTAAAAAACAACAACAGCAAGGGTGCCTGTTGGTTGGTAGAGAGTGCGGCTCTTGATCTCTGGGTTGTGAGTTCAAGCCCCACGTTGAGAGTAGAGATTACTTAGAAAAAAAAAAGCAGCAAACTTAGACTCACAGAATTTATTTAATTTATCTAATGATACACGGTAGGCTCATCAGGGTAGGTTATGCCAAGCTGCAGTGGTTTAACAGATTCTTTTTTTTTTTTTTTTAATTTTATTTATTTGACAGAGGGAATACAAGCAGGGGGAGTTGGAGAGGGAGAAGCAGACTTCCCGCTGAGCAGGGAGCCTGATGCGGGACCCTGGGATCATGACCTGAGCCCAAGGCAGACGCTTAACTGACTGAGCCACCCAGGTGCCCCTAACAGATTATTTCTTACACACGCAAAGTATGCTGTGGGTCCAATAGTTCTCTAGGGTACTTCAATTTCAACTTTTCTTCAGGGATACAAAAGTACTGCGCCTTGCATGTAATGTCATCTTGAACACATGGCTTCTAGTTCTAGTTCACTGCAGTAGGGACAGTGTGATGGGGATGGGGGGGTGGGAGGGGGGTGGGACAGGGATTGGTTGCACGTTGGCTTTTAAGTACATCAATCAACTGACACACATCACTTCAAACCACAGCACATTGGCCAGAACAAGTCATGTGGCTCTGCCTAATTTCAAGAAAGCTGTGAAATGTGAGGGAACATAGGACTCTTTAGTGAATTGTAAATAGCTCTGCCATACCTGGCTGGTAGGCTGGTTTGAAATGGTAATGTGTATGCCTCATATGCTCCAAAGCTAGATTTGCTAGATAAAATACACGACACCCAGTTAAATTTCCAAATAATTCCAAATAAATGAATATTTTTTTAAAGGTTTTATTTATTTGACAGAGAGAAAGACAGCCAGAGAGGGAACACAAGCAGGGGGAGTGGGAGAGGGAGAAGCAGGCTTCCCGCGGAGCAGGGAGCCTCATGTGGGGCTCGATCCCATGACTCTGGGATCACGACCTGAGCCGAAGGCAGATGCTTAACGACTGAGCCACCCAGGCGCCCTAAATGAATATTTTTAGTATGAGTATATCCCATGCAATATTTGGGACATACTTATAGTAAAAAATTAAGCATTATTTACCTGAAATTCAAATTTTTATTTATTAAATCTGACTTTACCTAAAGGTCATATGTTTCATACATAACTAAAACCCATTGTTAATCTGAAATGGAGAGTAACTGCCCTATCTTCCTTAAGTTACTTGAACATTTCTAGACAATGTAAACTCGTTTGCAGGTTGAACTTTGCTAGCTGCTTGCCAATTCACAACATCAGCTACAACATATATACATAATCTAAGCCCTTAAATCAAATTAAAAAGCGTGGATTTCCCTAAACTCCATTGCCAACTAAGGATGTAGCTAGCCTTCTGCAGTTTAAGTTGCCTGAATCTCACTGTTCCTTAATTGTAAAATTAGGAAGTTTGACTAGAAAATCTTGAGAGTTATCTTTGTCCCATAAAATCTAGTATCCAACAACTCTATTGTGTTACCTTTGTAGCAAGGTGTCAGGATGTTAATGAAAACACACCACAAATAACACTTCTAAGTGCCCTGTCTCAAAGTACATTCCTCAGGAGGCCATTTACTTATTTTAATGATAATGCTGTTGCTTAAATCATTTTTGGTAAATGTGGCAACATACTGAATATCTTCTCTGGTGGCAAATTATTTTTTTGTGAAAATGGATTTGATCTTTTTGGAACCAGACAAAAGTTATTTAGAGCCAGGTCCAGTGGAGGGTCAAACTGAAAAATAAATTGAAATTTTGGACAAAATATGAAATGGGTTTATCAAATAAATGAAACTGGCTCATTTTTGATAATCTTAAGCCACAAGTTAAAACCAGTTAGTTTTGGGGTGCCTGGGTGGCTCAGTCAATTAAGCATCTGCCTTTGGCTCAGGTCATGATCCCAGGGTCCTGGAATCGAGCCCAGCGTCAGGCTCCCTGCTCAGTAAGGAGCCTGCTTCTCCCTCTCCTCGCTCGTGCTCTCTCTCTCTCGTTATCTCTCTCTCTCTCTCAAATAAATAAATAAAATCTTCAAAAAAAAAAAAACCCAGTTATTTTTAAGAGAGAAGTTCAAAACCCAATTTTGAGCAACTGTCACATCCCTGGAAAAAGTACATTACCTCTAACTTTAAAGAACTCACACTCAACTGAAGTGTAAGTTCTACTAGTTGATTACAAAAGGTCACCTTCTATCAGGACCTAATGATTCATCACTCGCTATTCATGATAAAGTATTGAAAATACAATTCCACATGATTTATTACCCAAATGCTCTTGAAAATGACTTTTATCCTGAGACATAGTTCCTTTTTGGTGAACTTTTCAAGTAGGTTTCAGAAAAGAATCCTGATGATTTTCCATCTCCCAACCAAATACATACATACATACAAAGCTTTTCTTAGCTTATTCATCAAATGATTTTAAAAGTCCAAAAATTTATACTCTACATTGTAAAGATTATGTGGCAATTGAGGAAAATAGGAAAAACATTTCTTTTTAATAGAGAATGTCATAATTAAAGATTATTTAAATAAAATGCAAAGATTTGAAAACAAAATATATTTCTAAACAGAAACAAAACAGAGATAACCAAATAAATAAGTTAAAGCTACACAAGTTTGGCCACCTCTCTAGGCCAAGAGTAGTAAGGCATGTTTTACTGATACAGCTATTGACAGAATTATTAAGGAGGACAGCTCTGACAATTCCCAGTATTCTTTTTTACTTTCTTCCCACCTCCAATTTTCTCTTCTCTTTTCTTTCCTTTTTTTAATTTTTATGGCGTACACATATATTTTTCCATGGTGTGTATGTAAGCACACACACAACACACATGTTTAAGAACATTAAAAATGTGATTCAAGGTCATTCTAGAACACAATTTGAAAATATTTGTCTAAAACCATCGTACCCTGAACTAACCATTCTAATTTTAGAAATTTATCTTAATGAAACTGTTGTGGGTTGAATAGTGCTCCCTCCCCCATCCACCCAGTCTGTCCATGTCCTAATCCCCAGAACTTGTTAGGTGTTAATTTATAGGGAAAATGAGTCTTCGCAGTTGTCATTTAGTTAAGGATCTTGAGATGATAAGATCATTCTGTATTATCTGGGTGGGCCCTAAATCCAATGACAAACATTATTAAAAGATTAAGGCAGAGGGAGATTACATAGAGATGAGGTGGAGGCAATGTGACCACTGAGGCAGATATTGGAATGATGCAGCCAAAAGTCAAAGAATGCTAATAGCCACCAGAAGCCAGAAAATGAAAGGAACATGATCCCATAGAATTGTAGGGTCAGCGTGGTCCTGCCAGGTTTCAGATTTTTAGCCCTTAGAACTATGAGAATAACTTCTATTGTTTATATCCATGAAGTTTGTGGTACTTTGTAACAAGGGACTCCAGAAACTAATACAGAAACTATCATAAAATCAATAAATATGATCAGTGTAGTTTAATTTACCATGACAAAAAAATGAAAATAGCATGTTTGCAATAAAAGGATCGTTAAAAATTGTACTATAAACATATGCCAGAATATAGATTTCATAGCAAAGTAATACTAGGTAATATATTCAAAATGCATAAAATGAAAAAGCACTTTGCAAAACAGCCTGCAAAGTAGAAATGTTATTCCATGTTTATTTAAAAAACATATTGGGTATTAATATCCAGAATATATAAAGATCTCCTTCATCAAGAAAAAAATAAACTCAATTTAAAAATGGACAAAGAACTAGACTAGATATTTCTCCAAAGATGTATACAAATGACCAAAAAATATGAAAAGATTCTCACATTACTAATTATTAGAGAAATGCAAATCAAAAGCACCAAGAGATACCATCTCACACCCATTAGAATGTTTACTATAGAAAAAGAAAACCGAAAATAATAGGTGGTAGCAAGAACATGGAGAAATTGGAATCTTTGTGCACTGTTGGTGGGAATGCAAAATGGTGCATCTGCCATGGAAAACAGTATGATCCTTTCTCAAAAAATTAAAAATAGAACTACCATATGATCCAGCAATCCTGCTTCTGGGTTTAGAACCAAAAGAAATGAAAACAGAATCTCAAAGAGATATTTGCACAGCCATGTTCATAGCAACATTATTCACAATAGTCAAGAGGAGAAAGCAGGCCAAATGGTATTGACAGATGAGTGGATAAACAAAATGTGGTACCTACACACACAGGAACATTATTCAGCCTTAAAAAGTAAAGAAGGAAATCTTGTCATATGCTATAGGATGGATGAAACTTGAGGACGTTATGCTAAGTGAAATAAGCTAGTCACAAAAAAACAAATACCGTGTGATTCCATTCATATGAGATACCTAAAGTGGTCAAATTGATAAAACAGAAAGTAGGATGGTGGTTGCCAAAGGCTTGAGTGTGTGTGTGTGGTGGGGGCGGGGAGTAATGGTGGAGATGTTGTCTAATGGTTAGAGTCTCGGTTCCACAAGATGGGAAATCCTGAAGACTGACTACACACAATGTGAATATATTGAACACTACTAACCTGTATGCTTAAAAACAGTGAAGACGGTTAAAATTATCAAATTGTATATTTCAAATATGTGCAGTTTATGGCATGTCAATTATACCTCTATAAAGCTATTTTATTTTTTTTCTATTTGAGTTGATTTTTCAAAATTTTATTGTTATGTTAGTCACCATACAGAACATCATTAGTTTTTGATGTAGTGTTCCATGATTCATTGTTTGTGTATTACACCCAGTGCTCCATGCAATACGTGCCCTCCTTAAGCTATTTTAAAAATATATTGGTAACTGTAAGTTTAGCTAAAGTGACTAAAAATACAGACTCCAAAGTCAGGCTGCCTGGCCTTGAATCCCAACTTTGCCACCTACTAGTGGTCTGACCTTGGGCAAGTAATTTAATAACTCTATTCTGTAGCTTTCTCTTCTGTAAAATAGAGTTGATAATAGGACCACCTTACAGAATTGTTCTTTGAATCAGATGAACTAATATTTGAAAAGTAAGGTCTAGTACATTGTGCTAAATAAATGCAGTGACCTACCAGTCTCACTCTTGATGTATTCCTCCATACAAATATTAACAGGGATTATTTCTAAGTGGTTGTTCTATCGGAGATTTAAATTATTTTCTTCTTGGCTTTTCTGAATTTTTAAATCTTTTTATTACATATATATAATTTTTATATTAAGCAATATATTTTTTTAAATAAATACAAAATAAGTCAGATGAGCCATCTAGTTTAGAAGTTTCTCTTTCCTTATGTAATGTATGGTGATTAACATAACATAATAAAAAAAAAAGTTTCTCTCTCCTTGTAATACTAAGGAAATAATTTCTGAACAAATATGGGTTATTTACTATATTTCAGAAATCCTTCTAAAATTTTTAGTACTATTTATTATTGAAAAAAAAGAGAAAGACACTATTATATGTGTATGAGAAAAACAGAGTTAACACTAACAGCCTGTAATTGTTGTTATGAAAATTATGACTTGGGCGCCTGGTTGGCTCAGTTGGTTGAGCGACTGCCTTCGGCTCAGGTCATGATCCTGGAGTCCCGGGATCAAGTCCCACATCGGGCTCCCTGCTCAGCAGGGAGTCTGCTTCTCCCTCTGACCCTCCCCCCTCTCATGTGCTCTCTCTCTCTCTCATTCTCTCTCTCAAATAAATAAATAAAAATCTTTAAAAAAAAATTATGGCTTATAATCCCCTAAATGTTTATAGAAATATCATTAACTGTTATTTCCTAATTGTATGTAGGCTAGGTGACAATACACAAATTAAAAATGCCAAGACTGCAGAAGTATTTTATATAGATGCCATAACCCATTATTTTTGCAACACTGGGAAAAGCCATGGTAGATTTGGTGTCGATCCTGCTTTTCCCCGGGACAGAGGTCAGTTATGGCCTGCTCTACCTTTCATTACTGTGATGACGGCCATATCCAGATGCTAAATACTCAGGGGACACTCCAATACAGTGTTAAAGACTCTGAATACTTCCTTCCCCAAAGAACGTAGCATTCCAAGAGAAAACAGGCCTCCTTCTGACTCTAGTAAAATTGTGAAGGTGTGTGATAAATCAGGCATCAGAATGAGAAGCCACAAATTATTTAAGGTACTCTGCCCCTTAGTCAGTCCCTGCTTCTCTCTTTCCAACACAGAAATGGTCATATATTTTAAATAATAATAACAAAGCTTGTAAGTACACATCAGTAGAAACAACTACAAAATATGTTCAAACATAAAGTGTTCCAATAAGGTATTATGCATTAAGAAGCTGTTCTAAGTGGGAATCAGAGAATAGTTAAGATAAAACTAACAATCAAAATATGTGAAATGTCTTAAGCTATATGAGGGATTTATTTTGAGTGGATGGGCAGAAATATTTTGTCCTTAGGGTAGTTTGTTCCATGTTCTTTCTTTTCTTCGCTTTTCCTTTCTCTTCTTTCTTTCCTCCCTCCCTCTCTTCCTCTCTTTCTTTCTTCTTACAGTTTTCATTTCTACATATTCACAAAACAAAAAACATAGGGGTTTAAAAGTACAATTTACTTGAAACATCAACTTTCTGAAGAAATACAAACTTTTAACAATCTATAGTAATGAATGTTATCTATATGAAAGAAAACAAAATAATGGCTTGTTTTTCAAATAAATTTGGCTATACACTAGAATTATTTTTCCCTTAAAAAATTTAGACTATTTTAACCAAAACTATTTAAAAATTGTTTCTAAAATAACCAGCGCCTAAATTTGCCAACAAAATGCAAAACAATCTGCTTCAGAGCAACAGAAATATATAATTTATGACTGCTAGTATGAATTAAAATTTACTAAATTTATTTTGCTAAGGCAATTATGTAACTCTTAGTGGTTTTTGTTTCTTTTTACTTTTTACTGAGGTATAACTTCCCTGAAGTATAAAAGTTAAGTGTACACCTCGATGAATTTTTACACGTTACAGTCATGATCCACCAACCAGATCAAGATAGAGAACCCTTAAAAGGCAATGTCTCCTTCAGGGTCAGGTGTATAAATCCCCCCTGTGGATGCTGTTAAAAATGTAGGTTCCGAGGCCACACTCCCAGAGATTCATTATCAGTAGGTCTGGGAGAGTGCCCTTGAAGTTGAATATTGAATAAGCACCTCCACTTGGACAAACTCTGCCCTTGAAGAAAGCCGAATTTGACTCCTGACTCTAGAAGTTTCATCCCTCTCAACTTGGAAGATAATTTTATTAGGAAATCTAGGTCATTTTCTACTGAGTAAGAATATATAGGACTTTTGATATCCGCGTGTAGTCTTAAGTTCAGTGTTTTTGTTTTTTCTTTCTTTGAGCCAGTCTCCCAAATGAAGTCTCCACCAGTCCATGGCAAAATGAAAATTTCAAAGTCCCTAGTGAGTTTTTCATAAAGTTAAATATGTTTAAAGGGTTGTCTTATTTTGCAATTATGTTCTTCTTACATTCAGGACTTTGAAATGTCATTTCTTTTATGAAATAATTCTAACAGTATAATAGTAGAGTTTATTTTTAAATTAGAAAAATAAAGAGTTAGAAATTCTGTCTACCAATTTCAAAAATTTGGGCTACCAGGCCTTCAGGTCTGCTCCTAAAATTTGAGCTGATTGCCACCAGGGCAAGCACAGTGCCACAGCCTGTACAACTTTCAGAGTAGGGGAATCTTCTCTACCAGAGCATGTCGAATTTGTTACTGTCCCAAAAAAAGGCATTAGCATATTTTCTCTCATTAGATAAGTAATATATCTTCTCTGTAGAAAAGTTTCAAAGACTGGGGGGAAAACCCACCACACTATTGTTAATAGATTGATTTGTTTTTTCCAATGTTTTTCAATGTACAATTTTTAAACAAGAATATATGTATAAATACATAATGATCTTGCCCTTACCACCACCTGATATTTTTCTTCAGTATTTTCTAAAGTCATTAAAAATCCTCTCAATGTAGTTTTGCCTGTAGAGTGTTCTACCTTATGAAAGCATCATAATTTAATTACTCCACATTTAAAATTTTAAACATAGAGGTTGTTTCTACTTTTTTAAAAAATGCAAATATCACTACGATTAACATTTTTATACATATTTTAAACCTTCATTTTAAAACATTTCTTTAAGATAGTTAAAAAAAATTTATATGGAGGGTTCACTCATGCAGTTGCATTCAGCTGAAAACTCACTTGAGGCGGGAATATCTGAGATGACTTCACTCATGCATCTGGCACCTTAGCTGGGGTAGTTGGAATAGCTGGGGGCTGGCTTGGCCTCTCTCTTTCTATGTAGTCTCTCATCATTCATTAGTCTAGCCTGAACTTATACGGCAGCTGCATTCCGTGAGAGTGAAAGTGGAAACTACCAGGCTTCATAAGACCTAGATCTAGAAGTCAAAACAAGTCATGGCACCAGCTCAGATTTAGGGGGAAGAGAAAGAGACTCCATTTTTTAATGGGGAAACTACAAAATCACATTGCAGAAGGGCATGTGGGATTGGAGGCATTGTTGTGGCCAGCTTTGGAAACAAGTGACCACATATTGCCATATTACTTTATAAAGTATCAATTTATTATAACAAGTGTAAGCAAAACACTCCTCCATCAGATTGGCATGAATTAAAAAGTGTCAGCAAGGATGCATAGCAGTAGTAACTCTCATATATTCCTGGTATGGGTATAATCTTGAATGTCCACTCTAGAAAACAATCTGGCACTAATTGTCAAAGGTCATAAGTATATACTGTGAAGAAATGGGTGCACTGATAGATCAGGATATATGTATAATAAGGATCATAGCAGCATTATTCGTAATTCATTACAACCCCAGACTGAAAACAACCCTATGGTTATAATCTTGAATGTCCACTCTAGAAAACAATCTGGCATTGTCAAAGGTCATAAGTATATACCATGGAGAAATGGGTGCACTGATAGATCCAGATACATGTATAAGAAGGATCATGGCAACATTATTTATAATTCATTACAACCCCAGACTGAAAACAACCCTAAAGTTCATTGATTTTAGAATAGATTTTAAGAAAATGTAGAATATTATAGAGCAAGAAAAATGAACAAATTACACATTCAGCAACATGGATGGATCCTTCAAACATAATGTTGAATATAAAATACAAGTCATAAAAAGATTTGTGGAATTTGATTTCACTTATATAAAGTTCTAAAACAAGCAAATGCAAACTATTTTTAGGGATACATTTATAAGTGAATATAACTATAAAGAGCAGAAAAGTGTTACCACTGGGACACCTGGGTGGCTCAGATGGTTGAGCGTCTGCCTTCGGTTCAGGTCGTGATCTCAGTGTCCTGGGATCGAGTCCCGCATCAGCTCCCTGCTCAGTGGGGAGCCTGCTTCTCCTTCTCCCTCTGCCTGCCGCTCCCCCTGCTTGTGCTCTCTCTCTCTCTCTGACAAATAAATAAATAAAATCTTTAAAAAAAAAAAAAAGAAAAGAAAAGTGTTACCATATTAAAGCCAAAGGGTGAGTTTGGCCTGGTAAGGGGGGTAAGGAGGATGGGGAGGATGATCCAGGCAGAGGAAATAGCTTGACTGGGTGATAGGAAGGAGTTGGCTGAATTTGAGAAATTTAAAGGAAATCAGTGAGCAAAAGGAACAGGAATTTAGAGGCCATTTTACGGATTTTCAGACTTCATGCTAAAAACAGTGAAAAGCCATTGAGTGGTTTTAAGCAGAAAACAAACAGATCAGATTTTCATAAAGAGTAATTTTGTCTGTCATATGTAAAATAGATGAGAGAAAGTTAAGAGTAGATACAGCAATATAGTTAGAAATTTCTTTTAAAAGGCTTTGGGTGAGAGATTATATGGCTTCAAGTGGTATAGTGACAGTGGATTAGAAAAGAATTGGAGCTAAAATAGGCTTGAAAGGTGGAATCAACAGGACTTGATGACCAGAGAGTTGAGAAAACAGAGTGATTTAGCGTGACTCCTATTTCCTAGCATGATCAACAAGATGCTGTTGATGAAGAAAGGGAACAGTAGTGGACAGCTGGATCTTGATTTTGGATTCCTGGGAGATATACAAGTGCAGATGCTACCCAAGCAGTGAATAAATAAATGATCTGAAACTCAGAAGAAGTACCTGAGCCAGAGAGACATTAGATTTTTTTTCTTTTAACATACCATTGCAGTAAATGAAATAGGGCATAGCTACTACCAAATAGCAGGTAAAATGACTTAGAAAGGACAGGTAGAAGCAAGAAGCAGTCAAACTATTAAGATTATCTTTGTGCAAGGCATTTTATGTGATTGAGACACACATAGGTAAGATATGGGGCCTAGTTTACTGCCAAGTGGATGGGACAGACACTTTAGCAGACTATATACATCTTATCTGGTAAATGACAAGAAGTACAAGATGCTGTAAGATCCAAGAGGAGGGCAATGAAGTTTGGAAAGTCGAGTAAGAATTAGCCAGAAGAAGAAAGGTGAGAAAGGCATTCCAAGCAGAAGCAATACAATGCACGGAAGCACTGAGGCATGAAACAATGTCATATGTGTGTGATCACAGCAGGCCAGTGGTATAAACACACAGAGTTCGACGGTTGTGCAGCAGGTCAGACAAGAGAGAAAGGCCCCAATAAGGGAGAGTCTTGCATGCCTTGCCAAGGAGTTGGAGATTTAGTCTGTAGGAATAGAGAAGTGACATGGTCCTCTGTGCATGTTAGGGAATATACTTAAAGCAAGCATGGAGGTTGAGGACAGCAGAATTGATTAGGGTAGAAATAAGCTGCTATATGTATAGGGAGTGATGATACGGAAAAAGGGAAGCATGCATTTGATAAACATTTAGCACCCCTCTTTAATTCAAAGAGCCCGTGTGGAAGGTCATATCTACTTAGTCCCAGGTTTCTCTCAGCTTTAGATGCAGTTGACCGGGATTCGGGGGAGATGGTAGAACCCCAAGTTTTAAATCTTTAAATTCCTACAAAACAAAGCAAAAGCTCCATGCAGAACGTGCCCTCTTTAATACCCATCACCAGGCTAACCCATCCTCCCACCTCCCTCCCCTCTAGAACCCTCAGTTTGTTTTTCAGAGTCCATCTTCTCTCATGGTTCATCTCCCCCTCTGATTTCCCCCCCTTCATTCTTCCCCTCCTGCTATCTTCTTCTTCTTCTTCTTCTTTTTTTTTAACATATAATGTATTATTTGTTTCAGAGGTACAGGTCTGTGATTCAACAGTCTTACACAATTCACAGCTCTCACCATAGCACATACCCTTCCCAATGTCTGTCACCCAGCCACCCCATCCCTCCCACCCCCCACCACTCCAGCAACCCTCAGTTTGTTTCCTGAGATGAAGAATTCCTCATATCAGTGAGGTCATATGATACATGTCTTTCTTTGATTGACTTATTTCGCTCAGCATAATACCCTCCAGTTCCATACACAAACAATGAATCATGGAACACTACATCAAAAACTAATGATGTAATGTATGGTGATTAACATAACAATCAATTTTTTTTTAAAAAAATGATATTCTTATGACTCAGATAACAAAATATAAATTGAGGCTTCATTCTTGGCATGATGACTTTCCTCACCTTGCTTTTGTTTCTTTTATGTATTATTCTGTTCTTTTAGTTTTTTTCTTTGATTTTACTCAAATATTTTAACTTCTATAAGAAAATATGACCTATTTATAACATTTGCAGTGGGTTGTAACTAACTCTGCATTTCAAGCATATGTGGCCGCTCCTACTTAAAATTACTTCCCATATGCATGTTGTTATTTTAATATTTCAGACAATAAAAAATTTTAGCAGAAATAAATAAAAAACAACAACAACAAAAAACAAAGCAAAAGCAAACAACTACAAAAACACAGCAACTAGGTGGCAAAGCCAAAACGCCTGGGCCAAATTCACGACAAAGCTAGGGCACCCCAAATAAAAGCGGGTGGAGCCAAATCCCCATTAGCTTCTCAGGGTCAGGGCGGGAGGAGGAAGGAAGCCAGCAGGCTGCAGCTGCGAAGAGGCCAAAGCTCTGCGAGAGCGCACAGGGGAGCTCAGGTGCAGGCAGGCGTCCGCCGGTGCGCTCGGTCACGGCCGCCGCGACGGCGCCGCAGCTCCAGGCTCAGCATCCGGCACCGCTCAGCTCGGCGGGGAACCGGCGCTTGGCCAGTTCCCGCCGGGGCAGCGCTCCAGCCCGCGGAACTGCAGGGGCCAGAGCAGGAGCGCTCCCTGGGACTCCAAAACCTGCGACTCTCCAATGCTCTGATCTGGCGCACGGGTCCACACTGAGGAGAAGCTGCGGCGTGTAGAATAAATCTCAGCAACAGCTGGACAGCTGGGACAAAGGACAGAAAAGGTCGGGGGGGGGTACGGGGGAGGAAACGGGGTCAGAGAATTCCAGACAGCAAGCCACCAAGGTTTTGACCACTACACAAGAACAACAGAAGAGGGAGCATGCTGAAGTCAGAAAAGTTTTTCTCCACCAGCGTCACTGTAAATGTTGAGGAAAAAACCTAATTTCCCATAGAAATGAGCACGAGAAGAGTATCGACGGAAAATCCCATATAAAAATATTGTAAGACGTGGATGGAACTGGAGGGTATTATGCTAAGCGAAATAAGTCAATAAGAGAAAGACATGGATCATATGACCTCACTGAAATGAGGAATTCTTCATCTCAGGAAACAAACTGAGGGTTGCTGGAGTGGTGGGGGGTGGGAGGGATGGAGTGACTGGGTGATAGACACTGGGGAGGGTATGTGCTCTGGTAAGCGCTGTGAATTGTGCAAGACTGTTGAATCACAGACCTGTACCTCTGAAACAAATAATACATTATATGTTAAAAAAAATAAAGAAGAAGATAGTAGGAAGGGAAAAATGAAGGGGGGGAAATCGGAGGGGGAGACAAACCATGAGAGACTATGGACTCTGAGAAACAAACTGAGGGTTCTAGAGGGGAGGGGAGGGGGGGATGGGTTAGCCTGGTGATGGGTATTAAAGAGAGCATGTGGGCGCCTGGGTGGCTCAGTCGTTGAGTGTCTGCCTTCGGCTCAGGTCATGATCCCAGGGTCCTGGGATCGAGTCCCGCATCGGGCTCCCTGCTCGGCGGGAAGCCTGCTTCTCCCTCTCCCATTCCCCCTGCTTGTGTTCCTGCTCTCGCTCTCGGTCAAATAAATAAATAAAATCTTTAAAAAAAAAATAAAGAGAGCACGTTCTGCATGGAGCACTGGGTGTTATACGCAATCAGTGAATCATGGAACACTACACCAAAAACTAATGATGTAATGTATGGTGATTAACATAGCATAATAAAATAAAATTAAAACAAAACAAAACAAAAAAATATTATAAGAAAAAAGGAATAAGGAGCAAACTAACATTCCTACAAACAAGGAAAGCAGACCAGGAAGATGTACCCACAAAACAGCTCCAAACTGTAACCCACCATTTCAAAACAAGCCTAAAAGACATTAAGAAAGTGATACAAGATGTGAGAGAACATCATCAATCAGAATTAGAAAGGCTCAGCATTGAGATAACAGAACTTAGAAAAGAATTAAATGATTAATCTAATAATTAGATGATCTGTAAATTAAAAAGAATTATGTTAATGCCTTAAAAAAGAAAGTGAAAAAGGAAAATTTCTAATTTTAAAAAACAAATTATCTTAAAAATCAAAAAGAAATGAAGACATTAAAAAAAAAAAACTGTCAAGCTAGTACACAGATCTTTTCCAGCAGCTACAGACTGGGAGCTCTGGTTTTTACCTGTTGCTGCTTCACAACCTTTCTCTTAGCCATCTTTGTATCTTGTGGCCCCACTCAGTTCTTGTCACAAAACAGGCACAGAATACTTTTGTTAAATAAATGGAGCTTAATGCCTGTAACAACTCCCTCATTCTTGATCTCTAGGACTCAGAGAAGCCTTCAAAGATAAGAGTAACACTAACCCAGCTCCCTTCCTCCATGGCATTGAGTTCATTTTCCACTGTCACGTAGGAGAATAAAAAGGGGAGATCTCTCTCTCAGAGATCAAACACCAGGAATCAAGGCATTTTTACATTCTTTCCTTTTTCAATAGTTCTACCTCTCCTTGTGTATCCTGGTGTATAAGCCTTTTGTATCATGTAAGAAATTTTCAGGACGCAAACACATTCCGCCTAAATAACACATATTAATTCATTCAAAGATTCACTCAGCAAATAGTTACTAAGCAACAAATAGTTATCAGGCAGTAACAAACAAGACCACAGATTAGGTTCCTGCCTTCATGAAATTACCTTGAGGTAAGAAAGATTTAACCAGTAAACAAATAAGGTCATTACAGATGCTGATAAGCACTGGTATGGAAATAAACAACGTGTTGAAATGTTGGAGGAAGCTATTCTAAATGAGAAAGTCAGGGAAGGCTTCACTAACCATATCCGTAGT